GCATGTTCGTGATATTTGTTTGTTATCATACCGTTAGCACGGTGTTGTCGGTATCATACCGACAACACCCACCCTACCGACGGTATGGTTGTTCGCCGAGTCGACAACTCGGGAGAGTTTATATTTATTTTCTGTGGAAATTTGACTAGAGAAGAGATCGAATTGACGTTGAAAGACTTAGGATTGTTCCCATGAAGTACTGTATTTAGTTAGCAAGTATCGAGGCTCGGACGAGGAGGGTGCTGATGAGATTGCGTACAAATGGGCAACTTATGGAGCTGATGCCCTCGGAGACTACCAGTGCATGTATGAGCTGGCGATGATGGACGTTTTCAATAGGAAGAATTATCCTCTGGCCGTAAGCTCCCACTCGAGAGATCAATCCTATCTGGTGTCTTTGCTCAGCTCGAGCGGTTGGAAAATCTGTCTAAACGCCCACCGGTCGTGTTTCCTTGGGAGATGAATCCCTTGGACCAATTTGCTGATCCTGAGGTGAGATTAGCTTCTTGCGAATGCTGCTAGAATGGGTGTTTGTGGTAGTTGGAAGCTCGAGTGATGGACATGTTACTTGAGAACAATCCGTGGACTGCAGATAGTATAGGGAAATCCCCGGACGAGGAAGAGCTACAGGGGATGGAAAAAGGAGGTGGGGACGATCTTGTTGTTGAACTCAATGGGTCGTTCTGTGTAGGGTCAGCGGTCGTACCTGCACCTCATGTGACGGCTTCGGTGGTGGGCGTGGGGGTTGCCTTCCTGGCGTACGTGGTGGATTGTTGCCGATGTGGCATGTATGCTTTGAGTGCGAGCCGGGACCATCGATTTATTGGAGCCGTCTTTCAATTCGAATGTCCATTTATCAAAGTAGCAGAATGCAACATTTCTTGGGATGATTAGTAATCTCATCAGATTCCTCGCGGTTGGCCCGAGCCCCCAACTGTTCAACTCACAGTGTTTGTCCTTGTTCTCGTTTTTCTCTTGATTCTGTTGAAGGTGAGAAGAGAAATCAGCTCGGAAATAGAAGTCGGTGATCAGATACTATCGGGAAAGCTGATCCGAATGCTTTCCCGAGGAGATGTTCCTGAACACCAACATCGAGAGTAGAGGAGAGGCGTATGTACCAGATGTTGTTTTAAATGCTGTTATCATTGAGGATTTGAGTTGCTAGTGTTATTTGAAAGCGTGACGAAGATGGTCAAAACAATCATGGAATCGAGAGGAAGTATTAACTAATGCGGAGACAGCGACCAACGATCAGCAGTTTCGTTGCGACGAAAGAATTGCTGGAGGACCATTATGGTGGTATTAGAAGGACATGTCAAGACATTGGAAATGATATGGGATTTTGTGAACTCTTCGGCAAAACAAGCATATCGACGAATTCAATCGGATTGAATGGAGTAGAATCGCTGACCAGCATGTTCCAGTGTTGTTCGTAACACATAGTGTCACCCCACCTTCCTGGGAACTAGCCGAACTCACTATAGGAGGGATGCAGAGCCATAGGGTGACAAGAGTGATATAGAGGACAACCGCATGCTTCATACATTCCACATCACCAAAAGGCTACATTGTCGTGGATCACATCACGAACGACGAACGAACCTAGTTAGTCTCCTTCAAGCTGCTCTGAGCCATCGAGTGTCCTATAGAAGCGATGATGAGCAACCCAACGCAAATTAGGTCGATCCTTCTCCACTTCCCCTTAGCGGCAGAAGGCTGCCGGGTGAGGTGTACTTGACAGTGAACACGATCGTCTCAAGTGTCTGTTACTGCTATCGATGCTTCGTTGACTACGTCACGTTAAATGCTACCCTTGGCTACAGCGGCTTTGTCGAAATATTGTTACGAGTAACATGTAAGTGAAACGGCTCACATTTTCGCTCGCCGATGACCGTTTCATCTTTTCCACGATATGTCAATTCTCCGCTACTGTACGATGACGATCAGTGCCTGCATCGTAATCTCACTAGCTTCCACTATTCGAACCCGACTACAGTCCTTGTCAGTCTCAGCTTCTCTGTCCTGTCTATTACGTCCATGGTAAGGCTCTGCAAAGCGTCGTCTATCCTGGCCGCGAGTCTTATCGTGCTGTACCGTACTTCGGCAGTTAAGTTGATGCGTGCAGATGAGGATAAGAGGCGATGTGAGTCGCTTTCTAACTCTCGTGGGGTTGCCTGCGTTTGTGATGATCTTTCTCCTTAGGGCAGCCCAAAGCGAAGGCCGCGGCGAAGGACGTAGACTTCAACTTGTACGCCAATGGTCGTGGAAAAGTGAAGACTAAGGATGGCAAGTCCGACTGTAATGGTAAGTGGAAAGATGCAGAGACGTACGGTGTTCGGAAGAAGAAGATCAAGCAGTAAGTTTTAGCCAGTAGTGGAGGACGTCAGATCGCTATGGGTTGGTGTAGGTTTTGTATTAGACTCCATGAGAAGCATCAGGACGACAAGGGTTATACCGATGCTCCTAAGAAATTTGGTGGGCACTGCGCGACTGAATTCGTTTCCGTCACGGCTCCGTTCTCAGAGTGTCGATTAGACCCTAACGACAAAGGGAATGATCATGGACGGAAGAATAGGGATTGGCTGTAAGGATGATTTCTCTCGTTTTGGCAAGTTGCTCGTTGGAAGGTGCTACGAGAAGAAGCCTGAGTATGTGTTGCTCCCTCCTCACGGTCCTGAGCTTAACGCTACATGCCCGACTTCCTGGGATGCATATGAACACCGCGCATTCTCCTGTAATTTGATATCCACGGCTATGTTCGTATACGAATGTGTCCTCCTTCTGTTTAGGGTACCCGAAGGATAGTCCTCCCAGCTGGTGCGAGTACAACTGGTTTGAAGATCTTCAGGTCTGCTGGTGCATGCCTGGCTTTTACCGCGACTCCCCCTTTGACACGACGCTCAATAAAAGGTCAGTCATGGAGTTGTATGACACATGGCTTGCGTAATCGCTACGAATCCTCTCAGGGCTTGTCCTGACCGAGAAGAGATCTTCATCGCCCCTAAGTTCGTGAGGACCGAAACTATCCGCCAACTACAAGGTGTCGAATCAAGTACCGGTTTAACCGACACTGGCGAGCAATGCACGTGCCCTGCTGGCTTCCCCTGAGGAGCACTGTCTTCATCGACTACACGGCTGAAGTGTAAATGGAAAGTATTAAGTTAATTTTACCCATGTTTAAACTGTCTTGAGTATATATTGCCGCATATGGCAACTCTATCCCGCAAGCATATGTCGTATGAAGTGCTGGGAGTATTTAAAGTTAGCACATACTACTCGACTAAAGTCAAAGTCCTTGAAGGACTATCCTGGCACATTAGATCTGTCGAGTTTCCCACGTAGTGCTCAAGTTTGATCAACTTCGGTGCACCCTTGTGCTTCGACAAACCGTAACTCTCTAGTTGGCCACCTTGGCTGACATCTGCCGTGTACGACAATATGTCAAAAGAATCGAGATCACTCGTTAGTCGGAGTGAAAAGCACACTGAGCATTTTGTGTGGAGAGTTGGCATAGCGGTTGAGTGGTCGGTATGGATTGTGGTGGACACTCCCTGGGAAATAGAGCATGAGCCCGATAGGGAGTGCTTACAAGTGTGGTGATGATTGCAGTAGGCTAAATATTCTCGACAAGGGGACCAACGGTGCTGGGCGACAAGTGTAACAGTCCATCTGATGTCCCTTGTTGTTGATACTGTTGTGTTCCTTGTTCACACGGCGCAACACCAGGCATGGACGGAAAAGCACCAAAATGATAATGATACTACCATAACACTTTCCTCAAAGACTCAAATGAAAGAACAGAACGACTACTGGCTCGCTTAGCAAATTTAGCTATGCACTTGCGTGCTCATCACTTCTGCGCTCGCCGTTTGGCGACATTGCCACACGACAAGTAAGACCAGCTAGACGACAGCTGAAACGAGTAGTTACAGCAGAAAATCTACCATAAAGAGACGATGTAACAGGAATCCACCTGTCACACAGATCACACTGTACCCAACATTGAATCTCGTCATCATCACGAGTGTAGTAGGGATAGAGATTATGAACACTTTGTAACGGTGATATATCCTTGTTACCATGTCCACCTTGACCAGCGGACTTAATCTTACGGAGTGAATCAGAAACCACCTCTTCGATCTCGAAAGGACCAGCGAACTTCAAAGAATGCTTGGACTGATTCGACTCCGGACAATAGACGAGACATTTACTACCGACAGGAAACTCAGGAGACTTCAGAGAATGATTGTTCACTCTTCGACTCAACCTTACTTGTTGTACTTCCTTCACATCCTCCCAAAATCTCTTATACTCCTCGAAGCGTAAACGAGTTTCCTCACATCGGCATCTGTATAAGTCTTCCAGAAAGGACTCTTCTTCAGGACATAATAATTGACGAACACCTTGCAACACGTCCTCATTTGTCTCAGTAGAGGATGATGTAGTACGCCACGGTCTCAGTAACCGACGGCCATAGAATAAATCAGCAGGACCAAAGTCCAAACCAGGGAAGACTGTGAGATTATGAACCAACTGCAGGTCACCCAACCATGATGGCCATTCTTTCACCTCCTCACCAGACGCGTGCTTAGTAGCGAAATATTGTCTCAGATGTAGATGGCAACGTTCCAACCAACCTCCATAGCTCCGATGATGCGGAGGGAGGGTCGCAACCATTATGTGGCGAGTAGTACACCACTCTCGGAAATTAGTCGAATTAAATCCGCCATCCACCACGAGACAGATAGGGAAAGACGCATCACTAAAGATGCTATCTAGGATTTTTGTAGTCTCGATAGACCTAGTGGTTTTTGTAGCTCGAAACCAAGTGAAGCCTGTAGCTGCACAGACGAGACTCAACACGTGATGGAAATTACCGTCACCCGTAGGTAAGTTCACCACATGATCCAACCCAAGCACTTGACCAGGTATAGTAGACTTCATCCGTAGAGACCCTACGGTCTTGCGCCAGGCCACAGAGGCATGAACTCTTTGGCAAGGATCGCATGTTCGCAGACGATTACGAACAAAACAGTTGATCCTAGGCCAATAATATTCCATCTTAATTGTACGAGCGATGGCTTCAGCTCCCAGATGAGTAGTAGTATTGTGGTAGTGGTCAATCAAACGATTAATCATTGCCTCATCATCGACTTTTGGGTCCAATACCACTTGGTGTAGAGGTTGACCTTCTGAAGTTGATCTTACACACCGATATAATATACCATCCTCGACCGTATGGAACTTGGAAGCATCGTTGAGAACTCGATGCGGAATAGAACAACCATCGGGCACCTTCCTATGTAGTAGAAACTCTCGAAGAGCGGTAAGGAAGGACGATGAATTCTGGTTTGTTCGGGCAAGTTCTGCCCAATCAACATGCTGATCAGACTCAGATATGACCGGCTGTGGTGTGGAGGGCTCACTGCCATTAGTCGAGTCGGTGATAATGGTCATACACTGTAGGCCAGATAAATCATCGACGCATTGTTTAGAAGGTAGTGCCGATACAGCTGGGTCGAAGATAACCAACGATGACCCCAATGCCCATTTACGTGCTACTTCAGCCAAGACCACAGTAGTAGAGTCGATCTTCGCCCGGGTAGCCGCATCCCCTAAACCTTTGCCGAATAACTTCGAGCAAACTGATCTTATATCTTTAACCCATTTTTTCTCCAGGCGCGATAGATCATCATCCAACTTTGGACGCTTCAAACGCCATAGAGTAATTGCCGAGTCGGTATAGAATATAATAGAAGATATTGGTATTCTGACGTTATCAACATACTTTAGAACATCCCCACATAGGCGAACTGACCGCCATAGGCTATACAGCTCTTTTTTAGGTATGGACCATCGACAATGAGGTCCATAAACACCAGCAACGCTCCTCAATACGTATAAAGGACCGACTTCAGTTGATATGAGGGGACAATCCACTTGAGAGCACCAGGCCGCATTAGAGCTGTCACAGAAAATGTAGAGAGTAGACAAATTAAGAGCTCGGGGTGTCGAAAATACCTTCGACCTTATATCGGTGTACCACTGTTGGACCTTCTCAATGAGCTCTTCAGTAGCAAGTGTATCCCAGTCGAGCAGCTGGGCATGAATATTTGCTGCCAGTAAACGCGCGCTGACACCTACCGCAATGAATAAGCCAGCAGCATCGTACCATACTGATAGAGAACTAATTAAGGACCTTTTTGTGATCGGAGATTGCAGATCCAAAGGTGGTAATACTTGACAGAGCCGATCGTTGTCCACATCCCACGTGTAGCCCAGATATGGAGCCTCACCGTTAAAGGAGCCATCCGTACTTACACGCTTCAGGGACTGGAAGACAAAGTTCTTCTTCTTGAACCCTTCAATAACGATCCTCTCGTTGCGATGTAGATCAATAATAGTATCACCTCTAACACCGATATCATCAACAAATATAGTTATCGGAAGACTGAGCGAAAGTTGTAATGATGGGGTTCGCAACGATAACGATCGGAACAATGCTGCAGAAGAAAAGTTGCAGCCGAACGGTAAACAAAGCCATAAGTAATGAGCTCCAAATACATACAGACCAAACCAACACTGACTCGACTGAGAGAGACCTATACAGTTGAAAGCCCTCTGCAAGTCGAGACTCGTATAGTGGATACTACTTCTCATCACTAGAAGAACGTCAGTGATTTTAAGTTTACCATCGGTGCTACATTTATTCGTGAAAGCATTAAGCTTACGTCCATCTACAGTAAGACGAACTTGAGTCGTAGATGATGATGGTTTATATACCGGACGTAAAGGTAGATAATACAAAACATCACGTGGGTCACACTCGCGGATACGACCCATAAGCAACATTTCATTTAACTCAGTTTGAACAGCATCAATATCTCGAGACGATGTATGACGCAACAAAGACTGAAAACGGCCTTTAGCCTCTGCCAAATTGAAACGTGGACGAGTCGAATCCTTCCAAGGGATGTCGACTTCATAATGATCATCATACTCTACTACTGGAGCAAAAGGCTCGCACTGAGATGCCGTTTTGGTAACATTATCATTAGACTCATCATGAAACAAACCTGATAGATTATCACTATCATCATAGGCAATAAACGACTGTTCCTCTACTTCAGTGTATCCCTGGAACGGCTCCAAGAATACACCACAGGAAAATACAGGTGGATCGATCGAGGGAGACACCGATAATGACGATTGCGGGTTTCGATTGCCACTGGAGACTACAGGGATAGAATCGGGTTTTAATTGAATGGTAATGCACAACTTCCCCAGGGCATCTAACCCGAGAACTGACGCGAATGCTAACTGATCGACGACCCAAAATTTGATTAACGCACTGGCTTTGGAGGTACTCACAACACACATCGTCTCTCCACCGAGAGGCATGCTACTACCATCAGCCAGCGTAACATCACGTCTACATGACAATGGTTCAATCATCAACTTCATCTCTCTGGCCGCTTGTAACGATAATAGATTGATAGTGCAACCAGTATCCAATAGGGTAATAAGGGTATGGGTCTCGCCAGTGTCGGCCTTCTTATACTTAAGCGATGCAGTCAAACTCTTTGAAGACTGTGACAACGATGGTGTAGCCAACTCCTTCGACTGAACTGCCATGACCGACGCCCAAGACTCTTCCTTCGCGGGGTACTGGTCAATATCATCGATCACCACCATCGCCGGCTCCGTAGAGCTCTTTACGGTTCTTGTAGCAGTAGGTTTTGACGTCATGGGAACATTGTCACGCTCGTGACGAAATAGACAACGGTCACGATTACAGGTACCAGATTGTAAGAATTGATGGCAAATACCAGAGGGACGGCTATTCTGAGTCGACACACCAGTACTACTGGGTGATTTTACTTGCGGAGATCTGTTCATAGTATGAGCAAACTGACAGCGGTCTCCATATTTACAGGTACCTTTCAGAAAGTGGCGACATACCTCGGATGATCTATGAGGTTTATTGTTGTCGCCCTTGCCGATACCTTTATTTAGGGCTTTGCCCTTGGGGACTTTCGACTCGTAGTATTCAGCCACGTCCTTAGCTTCTTCCAGACAGGCAAATCTTGGACCCAAATAAGCATCCAATTTCCCAGCTATATCAGGCAGAAGACCATCGCGAAAGGTCCCTGCCTGCTCAGTCGCACTTGGCTTTACCCCAGTTGATGTATGAATCACGGATGCCATCGACATCACACGGTTGGCGAACTCATGCACTGTTTCACCTTGTTCTTGAGCGAGCTGCTTCCATGATGGAAGCCATGGAATTCTGTTCGCATCTCCCTACATTGGAGTTCTACATTGGAATCCAATGTAGAACTTAGTTCCATCTTCGATGCATACTATACGTACGCCATGGTGCATCATAACGTGCATCCAGGCCTTCCCAAACCTTCTCTTGGGGAACTCCTCGGAGGTAAATCTCCTGAACCTCCCCTTTCAGAGGTTGGCCGAGACATCGCATTAGGTACTGATAACTCGCACCACCTTTCAGCTCATAGACTGCTTGCTGTTGTTGTACCAACTTCTTGAACATCGGGTACGGCATATTTGGGCGAGGACCAGACCATACAGGATCCACACATACTGGTAGCTCGAGCACATTGGCAATGGTCATCCCGGTAGAATGTAACAGTCCATCTGATGTCCCTTGTTGTTGATACTGTTGTGTTCCTTGTTCACACGGCGCAACACCAGGCATGGACGGAAAAGCACCAAAATGATAATGATACTACCATAACACTTTCCTCAAAGACTCAAATGAAAGAACAGAACGACTACTGGCTCGCTTAGCAAATTTAGCTATGCACTTGCGTGCTCATCACTTCTGCGCTCGCCGTTTGGCGACACAAGAGGCTTGACCGTAGGTTGAAAGACATACACAGGGTGGATGCGATTGTCTGCCTAACAACACAGCAGATACACGGTGTATCATGCACCATATGCATGCAAATCAGATTGAATTTGTCCATATCTAACGAGCAATAAATGGTACAAGTTGAACCACAAACACGTACACATACGTCCTCTGAACACGTGCTTCACGCCGAGATTTCATTTGGGCGAGCGCTAATCGTTTTCGACGAAATACTCTCATCGCGAATACATGAGAGGTTCGATCTGCTTGTGTGATCCACAGTGGGAGGTCTCGTTATCCTGAAGAGGTGTTAGAGATACCCGTTTATGGTTAAGCATCAGTAGCGTAGGCACTGGCATAGCTCATCTGTGGCAAATTCGAAAGTTCGAAAGGACGGTATGATACTTCCATTTCGAACGTGTTTCTCCAAACTTGTGCATCCCCTCGAAAATGATCGTTGCAGAAACGAAGTAAGCGTTAAGCAAAGTGTAGTGGACCGCTACGTTCTATTCTGTTTCAATCCCAGGTTTGTTCACTTTAGTTCTAATGCCTATCTCGCTGACAGAGCCGCCATCTGTGAACGACAGCAGCATCAGCCATGTGGCTACAGTCACTACTGACGAGCGTCTGAGTGAGAAGGTGTTATCCTGTTCGGGTGGAGTCTGTACAATGCGACGAAGGTCTACGATGAGCCCTGAGATGTCCGTTGGTGATAGCACCAGCTGTAGCTCTGATGTCACTAGTCCGCACCAGAAGTTCGAACAGTCGGTGTCTCATGAGAGAGCCTATCGAGCGCTGAAGAGGGAGAATCAACCTGGTAGTCTATTCGTTAGAGGACGCCAGACGTTGATCATCGACCGGAGAGACAAGGACAGACATGGTCCAGAGAAGCTCTTGAAGGAATACGAGCTCCAGCGTGTGATCGGGAACGGCTCTCAAGGGTCGGTTTGTGAAGCCGTATGTCGTGCTACGGGAGACCACCGGGCTATCAAAATAATCCCCAAGTGTGATGCCGCCCTCAGCGGTGGGACGTGTAGCCTCGAGGAGATATCTATCGTCAATCGACAGATGAAGCGTGAGGTGGGCGCTATGGGGCGTCTGGATCATCCTAGCATCTGTAAACTGTATGAGATCTATGAGGACAGTATGTCCTTCTATTTGGTCATGGAGCTTTGTCGAGGGCCTGATCTGACCGAGTACCTTCTTAAGGAACGTTATCTCTCAGAGCCAGAGGCTGCTAGGATCCTCAGGGGTCTGCTGTCAGCGGTTAACTATTGTCATAGTAAGGGCATCATCCATCGTGATATCAAACCTGAGAACATACTCCTCTCAACGCCTTGTCCGCGGTCACCTGTCAAGTTGATCGATTTTGGTTTCAGTGCCCGAGTTTTTCAGAACTCCTGTGCGCTGAATTCCTGCGAGGGCCAGACTCGTGAGATCAACTTGGGCGCTCGGAGGGTGTCACGGTTCGAGCTCCGCTACTGTGGCTTGCCAAAAGTGGATATTGTCAGCACTCAGCGCGATGCCGTCAACGACGTGCCGCCTGGTGGGATATCATTGGTCAATGACTTTGGTAAGGAGGCCCAGAGGCTCCACGGTCTGGTGGGAACTCCCTATTACGTGGCCCCTGAGATCATCGCTGGTCATCAGCATCACACTGGGATGGATATGTGGAGCTTGGGAGTCCTCCTTTTTGTACTTCTGGGTGGCTATCCGCCTTTCAGAGGCGCTACTACCGGCGAAGTGTTGGAATCAATCACGAAAAGTCAAGAGATAGAGTTTCCAGAGAAGTGGTGGGGAAATGTTTCAGAGGAGGCGAAGGACCTCATCAGGCATTTGATGGAGAAGGACTGTGGTAAACGCTTGACTGCCGCTGAAGCTTGGGAGCATCCCTGGATGAAGCGGTATCGACCTAACGCCGATAAGGTCCATCTGAGTCCTGAGACCTTCGAGACCTTCGTTCACGCTAGCAAATTACGAAAAGTAGCCGTGAACGCCATTGCTTATAATTTGTCGGTGTGCAGCTGCGCGGCGTGGATCAAGGAGATCAACAGTACGTTTGAAGCACTGGATGTTACTGGTTCCGGAACAATAACCCTACCAGAGTTTCGAGAGGCTATGAAGAGGGCGAGACCAGGTATGAGAGAGGCCAAGATTGATGAGCTCTTCGCTGGTATCGACACTGATGCTAGTGACGCTATTGATTACACAGAGTTCTTGGCTGCTGCCATATCGCAGGTTACATTTTCTCGTATTGATTTGTGTAGAAAGGCGTTCAGGATCCTCGATCGACAGCAGAACGGGAAGATATCGTCGGACGAGCTCCGGCAGATAATGGGTACTGCCCAGCAGGACGATTTGGATGAGCAGTCTGTAGCTGAAATTATTCGGGAGTTCGATACGAATGGCGACGGCTTCATCGACTTCCAAGAGTTCCTTGCTATGATGCAGTCGTATGATATCGGCTCTTCTACGCCTTGATAAACATCTATGGCCCATTCAACTTGAACTCCACACTATCACATTCACTATAACATTACAAACCGAGCCATATTTCTGCCGAGAATCTTGTGTTAGTAAGTCAACAAGGCTTGTGGGAGTGTATTTTCATGACCACATCTATGTCGTGAGCTCTGTGGTCATTTTCATCATCCGGGATAAGTATTTATAGAACTCTTCGAGGGGCCTTTCGGATGGGTGTCGACTAGTGTTTCCGCATTGTAGGGTTCACAGTGAACCCCATTGTATGGTTCATTGTAGGGTACCAGTGTGTTCGCATTGTGGTGGTATCAATACCACCGATAGTGAACCGTTCACTATCGGCGTATTGATACCACTCTTCCGTCACGTCTTGAAATCATTAACTCCAAAACACAGGGCGGTAACACTAGATAGAAACGTGTGGCCAGTGATACAGTTGAATACAAATGCATTATCACTTGAGCTGCCGCAGAATAGGTTTCTGCTTCTCGCCGACTTTCGGCCTGCTGCCGGGCTTTGAGTTCTTCACCCTATTTGCTTCCTTTTTCTTCTGAGCCTCGTCCATTATGTTCATCTTATCTTGTCGGAGCTTAATGGCCTTCGGGAGATGCTTGTGGCTACAAATACGGAAGGTTCCTGGTTCGAACCCCGGTGAGTACACCATACTACTTTGCAATCCGTCTTATCTCCGGCATATGCTTGTACTTCGCAACCAACTTCTTTCGATATGCCTGAGCCTTCTTCTCCCGCTTGCTCACAACGCCCAACTTGTCAGAAGCCTGTGCGGGGCGAAAACGTTGGCAAACCGCGCTGGTTCGATCCCTGGTACTACCTCATTTTTCCACACTCGAATATTACAGTCCTCCGACCCACTAAACACAAACCGACCATCACCACTGTACTGACAGCATAGTACTCTCTGCATTCGTTTCGTGTGATACACCTGATTGTCGAAAAACTGCAATACGAAAAAGCCCAAGGAGAGCTATTGAAGTTATCCAGTACACTGGTTCCGAAACTCACTCTGAAGCCGCATTCAAATCAATAGAGATAAGGTTAACCCACCAAGCACCTGTATTACCTCCCTCGAGCGTTGTGTCTCGTAGTTAAAGATTCGTATGGTCTTGTCATAACCAGCAGAAACCAATTCCTCACCAGTAGGACTGTAATCAAGGTCAAGCACTGCCCGCACATGTCCCTTGTGGATGAACACAGCCGAATCAAGCTTCCTAACAGCGTTAGCTCCTCAGATACGATGAGATTCATAATAATAATATCACTACCTCATATCGAAAGTATACAGATTGCCATCCTCGTTGGCTACACTGAACCGCAG